TCAAGGTCCTTAGGGCAGAGAGGAGGGCACACAGCAAGGGCACTACCCTGGACTTCAGGAGAGCAGACTTTGGCCTCTTCAGGGATCTATTTCATATAGTAGCATGGGATGAAGCCCTGGAGGGAAGAGGGGCCCAAGAAAGCTGGCTGATATTCAGGGATGGCCTCCTCCAGGCTCAGGAATGATGCATCCCAACAAAGAGAAAGTCAGACAAAAATGTCATGAGGCTGCATGGATGGACAAGAAGCTCCTGGACAATCTCAAACACAAAAAGAAAACCTACAGAGGGTGGAAGCAAGGACAGGTAGCCTGGGAGAAATACTGAGAAATTGTCTGAGCAGTCAGGGATCAGGTTAGGAAAGATAAAGCCCTGATAGAGTTACATCTGGCCAGGGACATCAAGGGCAACAAGAAAAGCTTCCATAGGCACGTCAGTGAAAAAAGAAAGACTAGAAAAAATGTGGTCCCTCCCCATTAGTAAATGAGAGACCTGGTTGCCTGGGATGTGGAGAAGGCTGAGATAATGATTTCTGCCTCACTCTTCCCCAACAAGTGCTCCAGGCAACACCACCCAAGATGCAGACAGCAACGGCAGGAACTAGGAGAACAAAGAACCATCCACTGAAGGAGAAGATCAGGTTTGAGACCATCCAAGGAACCTGAAGGTGCACAAGTCCATGGGTCCTGAAAGAACTGGTGGATGAATGGCTAAGCCACTATTCATCATATGTGAGAAGTCCTGGCAGTCCAGTGAAGTTCCCATGGACTGGAAAAGGGGAAACATAACCCCCAGTTTTAAAAAGGGAAAAAAAAGAAGACCCAGAGATCTACAGGCCAGTCAGTCTCATCTCTGTGCCCAGAAAGATCATAGAGCAGATCCTCCTGGAAACCATGCTAGGGCTCATGGAAAATCAGGAGGTGATTGGTGACAGCCAACATGGCTTCACTAGGGGCAAATCAAGCCTGACAGATCTGGTGGCCTTCTATGATGGGGTTACAGCATTGGTGGACGAGGGAAGAGCAACTGACATCATCTACCTGGAAGAAGCATTTGACACTGTCGCACATGACATCTTTGTCTCTAAATTGGAGAGACATGGATTTGATGATGGACCACTCGGTGGACAAGGAGTTGGCTGCCTGGTCACACTCAAAGAGTTGTGGTCAATGGCTCCATGTCCAAGTGGACAGCAGTGACTAGTGACATTCCTCAGGGGTTGGTGTTGGGACCAGTGCGGATTAACATCTTTTTTGGAGACATAGACAGGGGGATCGAGTGCACCCTCAGCCAGTTTGCTGACAACACCAAGCTGTGTGGTGCAGTCAACACATTGGAGGGAAGGGATGTGCCATCCAGAGGGACCTGGACAGGCTGGAGAGGTGAGCTGATGTGAACTTCATGCAGTTCAACAAGGCCAAGTGCAAGGTCCTGCCCATGGGCTGGGGAAATCCCAAGCACAGCTACAGGCTGGGTGAGGAGTGGATTGAGAGCAGCCCCAAGGAGAAGGACTTGTGGGTACTGTTGGATGAAAAACTGACTGTGAGCCAGAAATGGGTGCCTGCAGCCCAGAAAGCCAACTGTGTCCTGGGCTGCACCGAGAGAAGTGTGGCCAGCAAGTCGAGGGAGGGGATTCTCCTCCTCTACTCTGCTGTTGTGAGACCCCACCTGCAGTGCTGTGTCCAGCTCTGAGCCCTCCCAACATAAGTAGGACACGGACCTGCTCGAGTGAGTCCAGAGGAGGCCATGAAGATAATCAGGGGGCTGGGGCACCTCCCCTGTGAGGACAGGCTGAGAGAGTTGGGGGTGTTCAGCCTGGAGAAGGCTCTGGGGAGACCTTATAACAGTCTTCAAGTACTTAAAGGGGGCCTACAGGAAAGGTGGGGACGTTTTACTAGGGCAGGTAGTGATAGAATAAAGACTAATAACTTTAAACTGAAATAAGGTAGATTTTGGTTAGATGTAAGAAAGAAATTCTTCCCTGTGAGGGTGGGGAGGCCCTGGCACAGGCTGCTCAGAGAAGCTGTGGCTGCCCCCTCCCTGGAACGGTTCAAGGCCAGGTTGGACGGGGATTTGGGCAACCTGGGCTGGTGGAAGGTGGCCCTGCCCATGGCAGGGGGGTGGACTAGGTGATCTTTAATATCCCTTCCGACCCAAACTATTCTGTGATTCTATGATTGTTTTATGGAGTGGTAATAAAGCCATGGATAGGATGCTGTGCCCAGCTGTGGAGACTACACATTGAGAAGGACACAGATCAGTAGAAGACAGTTCAGAGGAGCAATAAGAATGATACGGGAGCCTAGAACACATTTCCAAAAAGGAAAGACTGAAAAATTTGAGGCTGTCTGAGGAACAATAATGGAGAAGGGGACAATATGACAATCTTCAGCAGGCATAGACGTGTGGCTGATTGTGCCTAGCCATGGACTAGACGACCCCTCAAGTTTTCTTCCAGCACTAGAGTCTAGAGTCTGTTAAGGATCATGCTCTTCCTTCTCACTTTTGGGACCCACAGCCCAGCAAGCTGTAACCAGTGCTCTAACCCTGTAATTTATAGTCAGAGAAAGTCCTTCTACATTATCACTAGCTCTTATTTGTCATCTAACCCTCCTCTCTGGGCAGCCTCAGAGTCTGACTGATTTTTGTACCAGTTATACCTTTTTTAGCCCAGAGAAAGAGCTTGGCTTTCAGTTTTAAAGGGGTCTGTGACTGAACTAGAGTCTAAGACTAAATGAACAAATGCACCGCTAAATGCAAATGCAATATATTATGCAAACATTGTGCATAATATAATGGAATTGTTGGTGTAAAAGTCAGACAGAAACTCTACATAATATCCATTTTGGACACTGGATATCTAATATCTGCCTTGGTCTAACCAAGAAGGCTTTCTTCCCTATCTGATAACTAGAGACCAAAGGTGGGCGTCATAACACCTCTGGAGACTCATGTGGGAGACAAACACCTGACCTGGCTGTCTAGACTCCTTTTACCATCAGTGAATACAAGTAGACTTAACTGGGACAGGGCTGTATCTTAGAAAAGATGTTTTAAATAGGTCAGATGGAACATGCCCTGTAAGTATTGTTTTCTCCCTGCTGAAAGTAAAGAGGATCTAGATGATAAACTTACACATAGATACCTTTTACTATAGGCATCTAAAATCAAGGGAGACAAAACTGACCTCCAGCAGGTTTTAAAGCATGGACTGTTACATTATACTATTCCCATCCCACCTTTGGCCCTTATATTACCAAGTGAACTTCCCATGGTTGCAGCCGTTAGAAATCTTTCTGCTGCATGTCGTAAGGCAGCTTTCTACATCTGTAGTTTTATGAGCGGGTTAGACGCTTCTGTTTAGGAAGGCACAGTTCAGTGCCTTCCCTTAGTTCAGTGAAGGCACAGTTAATCTCAACTGTATGAATTTTGTTGAGTCAGCTCTGAATTTACCACCTCATAGGAAGCTGTTGTAGATGTTCCAAGAACTGGGGCTAAATGCTGTGCCACAGAAATAAATGTAAACAGTTGCATTTCAGTTCTTAGATGATCTTAATCTAGAGCCTTTTCCCTGGGAGTGAAAAAAAACTTCTGAACCGTACAGATTTTGAGGATTCCTTACAGCAATGCCAAAAGGAGAACTTCTAAATGCAAATGGTAGTGGTAGGAAATCTTTAGGATAGTTCTTCAGCTAGAGTAACTTGGAGGTTTCTAAATCTAACCACTAACCAAGAAATGTTAGTGTATGAGTGAGAAAATTGGTGTGGTCCTCAGGAAGGAAGTACAGAGTGAGAAAATGAAAAGCTGAATGTAGAAAGGTCATGATGCATTTTGCATCAGCCAGGCTAAAGAAATAGAAAATAACATGAGTTTTTCCTTCTTAAGCATAAATTATTTAAGCTGGCCCTTTTATTCACTACAGAATAAGGGTTCATGCCTTGCATTTTGCTCCTAATGAGGCTCAGGACCTTGATTCCCCAAGCCTCTTCTTACAGTATCAGTAGCAATCCTTCAAATTATTGCTGGAGTGACTCAGGCTGAGCTTATGCTACAAAAGTCAGACCTCATTATTCAGGACGTAATTTTAAAATCATAATTTCCTGTGGTTGCTCTAGGATTTTCTCTGTAGGGTGTTTTTCTAATGCACATTCAGCTGTTCTCAAATACTGCAGTGACAGCAGCATTCAAGGGATTGTAGACGAAGGCAATGTAAAATGGGGCAACTAAGCACTGATCTGGCTAACAAGGGAGCACTGATGCTAGTTAACAGAGCTGGACATCTGACAAGAGAAGTTTACGGGTGAGATATTAAATAAATAGCTAACTAGCGGGTATCCTTTCCAGTGGGTTAGATTTCCACGACCCACCTTGTTATTGTCACCCTAGGACTGTTTTCATGGACCGAGCATTATTTGTGCAGTGGAGAAGGGTGGGAGACTTTGGATGGAGACCTTGGAATTAGCAAATGACCATGAGATGATGGATGTTTGAGGTGCAAAGCTCTGAGTAATCTAACAGGCCTGTTGAGGATTTCTCTTTCTCTAGGGGGAAGCTTGACTGCCAGACAAGAAAACACTTTGGGATCAGTAAAGTGGTTTTCACTTTTTCTCACTTGTAGATGTTGGCGTAGACACAGATTCTTGAGCTAGTCGCCTGTCTGCCATGGAGAGGAGCAGCTCAGGTGACCTATTTTCGATCTCTGCATTTGGGTGAGATGAACTCCACCACAGAAGGGTCTGCTTCTCCACACTGGCTACAAATAAGCCAAACACCCAAGGGCTTCAGATGTCATATTTGGTCTGAAGATACCCACCAAACCTCCCACCTGGCTTTCAACTGTCGCAAAAAAATACCCCACCTAGTGTAATTAGCAGTGAAAATTGCCCTGCATTGCCTTGGTGTCTACAACTATCTCCCAGTGCTTAGGGACCTTGACAAAAACAACCTCTCTACCATCAGATTTATCCCCTTCACTCAGATGAGCTAGTACATCTGTGAACAGACCTGGACCTGGACCTGGACCTGGACCTGGACCTGGACCTGGACCTGGACCTGGACCCTGTCACCAACCCCACCACCCTGCTGGCTCTTGTGGAGTCGTACACAGGTTATAAAGCCTGGAGCACAGCTGGTTTTGGGTCTGAGCTCTGGGCAATTTCACTGTTCAAGGTGAATGCAATTAAAGGTGAAAGCAATGAACTGCAGCTGGCAAATCTGTAGTATTGAAAGGTCCAAGACATCCGCACCTGTCCTAACGCTTGTGCTGTTGAGGGTGTCTGATGGTCAGTGCATCTCCAGTGCTTGGGTGGAGAAGGAAGAAAGGTGACCTAGACAGGATCAAGCTGACTGTAAAACGTGCTAATGAAGTGCAGGAGTTCTTTCCATAAAGCAGTTCATATTTCATGCCCTGTAGCTGTTCCTTAAAAAAAAAAAAAAAAGCCAGCAGCTATTTATCAGGTTGTTCAGCAGAAGTCCACTTACCCCGAGGAATTTCTCCTCTGACCCTCATAAACTGAACTGTCCACGCTCTAGAGCCAGACCCTATTTCATCACCTGCATCCATCCGACCAAGGCAACTGTCCAGTCATTGGCTTTGGAGCTTGCAGAGGACTCGCTTGTGTGGGCTAAATGGCCTCAAACTTTCTCCTTGAGGCCAGGACAAAGCTCCTTGTAACTACCGAGCATTTGATGCTGAAAAAGGGCCCTCACCCCAGGACTCAGAGCTCGGACAGCGAGTGCAATCAGCTTCGAATCCGGCCGCATTTGCCAACTGCACGAGAAATGTGCAAGCTTTGCTACACGTCACTTTCATCCAGCAGAATCCCATCACGTGTGGGATGGTCTCGGGCTTTCAAAAAGGTATGGCAACACTTACTGCAGGCAAGAAATCAGATGGAAAAGCAGCACGTGGGATCGTTATCTCTTTCGGACATACACACACACTCGCTTCTCTATCGATACCTCTGATAATCATAGTTCAGCACTTCGGAAGTCCTATCTCTTTGATCACCGCATGCTGATAGCCAAATACAGCTGCATAGGAGAATAGGGTCCTAAGAAGAAAGTATTAAACAACCTTATAATTGCAGGTTCTGTCCTAAAGTGCATACTCCAAGCTCCTAAATTGCTTTATTTCTATTTCCCAGAGATCAACATTTCCTCATCCGGAGAGTTTGATTTGCAACTGTAACTTTCTTTTAATGTGGGAAATTATTAAAAAAAAATATATTATTTTTTTTTTTTCAAATTAGAAGAAAGAAGTCTCTGAAAGTGTGGATTTTGGAGGTGGGGTGGGGTGTTACCACATGGCCTTATGTTACACGAGGCTGATGTTACTTGTACTGAAGCAGCGAAGAAAGGACAAGATTTCCCAGTGCTGATTTACTTCATATCAGTCGGACTCTAACTGCCCATCACTCAGATGCCCTCATGATCATCTTCATTATATCTGTTACCTGTGTGATACAAAGAGTAGCACTCAAATAAAATAATAATAAAAAAATCTCATTAGCCGTTTTCATGGTGAGCAAATGGAAAACCCAAAATATTTGATGTGACTAATAAAAGCCAGACACAGCCTCCTCAATTTGGAGTGTTTTGTCAGCTCATTTAAAGTTAGAAGAGGAAAGTACTCCAGATGCCATGCCAGATATGTGCAGCTCAGATGCTATACAAAGAACAGATAAAGGATAATATGAAAATAGGAATTATAATAGGATAGTACCTAGCTGCTTGGTTATCTAGTGTCCAAACCGTGTCCACCAAGATGATTATATCTGTATCACCTCACTTCAATGGAATTTAAAAGACTAAGAAATTAAAGATTTGCATGAAGACATTAAAATGAATGTTTTCTTTCCCATTTCTTGGCCCAGACATTGTTATGTACAGGTTGCGCCTTTTTTCATTTCATCAAGTTTTGCAGTGTGACAGAGTCCAGGCTTGGAGTCTTTCTGCTGCATCTTAAATGGGCACTGCCCTAGAGCTTTGTGAAATCAACCACAGAGGAAGGGGAGAGAAGAAAACATGGTTAAACTGGACACGTACCAAGGATATGGCTTGCTCCAGCTCTGCACAAAACCAGCACCCTCTTCTCCCTGTGGCTCAGTGTGGCCAGCAGTGCCAGTCAGTGTTAACATACGAAACAATTTTTAGCAGGAGAAACTCAGGAAAAAAATTCTCCTTTGGCTTTCAGTAGAGAGGAGGTAACTGCACCTGTTGTAAAGCATTTGGGCTTGCCCTCTGGCCGCTGTGGCATCCCAAACGGCTGTGCACAGCCAAACCTCAGCTTCTCATGCTCCATGAAAAGTGACATTGTCAGAGCAGAGGTGCTGGTATGGACTCATCACCGCAAGCATTGCCACAAGCTCATGGTGGGACAGCCTGGCTCTGCCCTTGGAAGGCTCCATCCCAGCAAAGTCCAGCTCCAACACTGGGCTTTCAAACGAGAAATCATAACCAATGAATGTAACTGAGAAGCCAGATGAGCTGAGAGAGGGAGAGCTTCATGACCACGACCTGCCACTGAAGGCAACAAGCAACAAAAGGATGAGCCCAGAGGAGACGGCTAAGAGCACCTCATCCTAATTTTGGCTCTTCCAGTAACTCCAAATGTGGTCTGGGGAAGCCACTTTCATCCCTTCTCCCCTGCCCAATACCTGTAAGATGTTGATAGCAATAAATTGTTGATAACAATCTTGATTGTATCTGCAGAGGTGTCTCTATGTTCTTCTCCTTAATGTCATAGTCTTTGAGCAAAGACAGTACTTCAAAAGGCTTCATCTGGAGCATCACCTCCTAATTCTGAATAGCTAGAAAACAACAGAGTAGAAGCTTAGCTGAAAAGTTTTCTGCCTTATATTTAAATAGAAAGAGAGAAGAGCTTCATTTGTTTTTGCTTCAGGAAGCTCTCTGCACCAACAGAGAAGAAAGTCCCTTTCTAAAATAACAAGAACTTCATTAGCACTTCTTGTACTTTTTTAAGGTCACCATTATAGATATTTTTGATAACACATCCTTTTACGTGCATGTGGTCTGCTCTGATGGTGGAGATAATGCTGTTTACAAGGCTGTTACCTGAAGAGCGGGTTGGGGTTTTTTCCGGGTATCTCCTTGTTTTTCAGGAACAGAGGATGGATGGTGTTCACATCTGGACATTTCTCGCTTACGGTTAAGGTCCTGGTTTTACATAAATTGGTGTAGAAGGGAAAAAAAAAAAAAGAGACAGAGTAAACATTTTTGGTGAGAGCTCAGCGTTCGGTTTTCTTCATTTGCCTCTCATGATGCCATGGGACAAGATCATTAAGGACTTTAGGGTACTCTGTGTCTGGCTAAAGTGCCTTTTCTTAAGAAACATAGAAGTTGACAGGCTGGGCTAGATTACCCATCAATGTACTTCAGTTACAAGCCCTTTTCCAGTAATCAGGATAATATCTCCAAAAGAAGAGACAAAAAATCCTACCTAGAAAAATGCAGAATAATCGGCCCTTGTCCTTAATCTTGTCTTAACTTCTAGTCATTGGGTTGGTTTATAGCATACAAGAGAAAAGTTTTTCTCTCTTGCATGAGTTGGCATACTTTGAATAAACGCACAACTCTGTTTCTTACTACAGCGGTATGTTGTGAATCGTAGAGTTACCAAAAACCTCAAGGCACACAAACTTTTTTATAAAATGAAAGCTATGAACAAAAGTAACTACTGGGACATAAGGTAGAATATGGAAACTGTTCCAGTAAATTAAGAAAATGCTGTTCCATGGACTGTCTTCTAGAGATGATTCACCTCCTGGCCATAGCCCATGCCTGAAAACCTTCTGGGCATCTCAGTTTTAGATAGCTAAAACTGGATGAGATTAATGATACTGTAACTGTATAAGGCACCTTACCTGATCTTGTATGCCCATATATCCAACATACACAGGCCAACTCTGGTTCTGGAAGTGTCATTGCTAAACATCTGGAAGATGCTGCCTGGGGCTTGCTGAAGGTCTGAATTCTAAAGCAGACTAGTACCATTTAGACCAGTCTGCTTCATTCCCAACACCGAGGATGAGGATGTTCCAACATACCTCTCCCTGTTTGCGTCAAGCACCTCTGTGGCAGAGAAAATCTTGAAGTGTTGATGTGTAAGTCCTCCAGGACTCTCCGAGCCCTCTAGGACTGCTCCAAACTAGCAGTCCTTCATTCAACCAGATTATGAGCATCACAGCTTCATCTTAGCTTCAGAAATCCACCTCAGTGCTATTTATTTGAACATATTTTAGGGGGAGTGATACTGCACATTCCCCACACAGGAAGAAAGCCACAGAAAAAAACAGACAAGAACATGCCCCAGCACAAAAGGCTGTATACCTGGAAAAGAAGCTGAACTTCTGTTTAAAAGCTGGCAAACCCTTGCACAGTCTAGGTGAGATTTTGTGATACTCTTAAGAAAAGCAACCTTTAAATTATGTGAAATCACCGACTTAGCTAATACATCCCCTAACTGGAGACCAGCAATTCCATAAGGAGACCCAAATCCATCCTAAATACTATGGACGTACTGGAGAAAGTCCAGCAAAGGGCCATGAAGATGATGAAGGCACACTGGGGCATTTCACATTATGAGGAAAGGCTGAGAGAGCTGGGATCGTTCAGCCTGGAGAAGAGAAGGCTCAGGGGAGTGTTATCAATAATTATAAATACCTGAAGGGTGCAAAGACACCTGAAGGCAGGCTCTGTTCAGAGGTGCCCAGTGCCAGGACAGGAGGCAACAGACACAAACTGGCACACAGGAGGTCCCCTCTGAACATCAGGAAACACTTTTTTACTGTGAGGGTGACTGAACATTGGCACAGGTTGTCCAGGGGAGTGTGGTGGTGCAATTCTCACCCCTCCCTGCCCTCCTTGTTGGGCTGCTTGGTGCCAGGTGTGATTCCATCCACATTCCCCCAAGCCATACACCAATCTGTGGAGATAAGGGCTGATAACATTAACGAGCGTGACTCCTGCCCCCCTCTGATTGCTAGGAAAAGGTTATACTGGCCCATCATCTCCTGATGGCCTGGCACAGCTGTGCCTGAGATGTGGTCAGATGGAACAATAACAGGGTTGCATGTTCTTGTGCAACTGCCCGAAGGCACCAGACAGTATTTGACAGAAGTCAGTTATCTTAGATCCTATAAACTGCGGCCACCAGAGAGACTCTTTGAGCTCTCCTGGATCGCAGCGGGCCTGTGACCAGCATCTCCCCGGAGCTGGGACGCCTCTCAGGTACCAAAACCCTTAAGGTGTCGTCTGCTCCAGACGGAAGGTCAGGGTGAAGTCCCCCCGCTCGAGTCTCAATTATCGCCCGTTGAGGAATGCCAAGGCATTGTATCTGCTCTAAATTCGAGAGGGAAATTTTCTTTGAGCTAGCTTCTATTTCACCTGTTTATTGGTGGGTGTGTGGGTACATACCCTTGCCCTTGTTCCTCTGTGTGTTTGTCCCTTTTGTGTTCATTTTACTGAATCCAAATACCTTTGTTTCTGTATGTCTGTCTGTCTTGTGTATGCACATGTATATATGTGTATAAATTAAGATACAGTTAAGTAAGAGTGAATCTTGTCATTTTAGAATCTGAACAAGTCGCTTTTCTTTCTGAGTTATTTCATATTGACAAATTGTTGTTAGTTATTAATAAATCTAGATTATTTTTACTAAATCATTACCGTGTCAATACTTTCATCCGTGACAGGGGATTGTGGAATCTCCCTCTTTTTTGTTCCACTACTTTGGTTTAGCAGTAATTTAGGATTTATTAATATTTTGAGAGAGTTCACAAGATTAGGTTGTATAATTATGAACAGCACTTAATCATCAGCCAGTTTAATAAGCGATTCAGTGAACTTTGTTATAATCAAAACAGCAACCTAGTTAAAGAGTCAAGAATGCCAAGGGTCACCCAAAACAGCAGGGTTTTTACAGCAGGGTTGTACACACAGATGGAGGTTAAATAAAATCACATGTACAGACGGGCAAACAAACAATTCTGAATCAAATTGTATGCACACAGCCAGAGGTTAACCTATGATTAAAATTTCCCCTTTTGTGCGTTTCAGGAATTACTCACTTTTATGTGCCAGCATTCATCAATGGACGGTTGGTGAATCTCGCAAAATCAGGCCTTTGAGTCCTGATTTTGATGGACAATCTTTCAATCTTCACAAAATCCACCCTGAGAGGCGTCCCAGCTCAGGGGGAGATACTGGGTCACACGTCCCGCTGTAGTCCTGGAGAGCTCACAAGGTTTCACTTTTGGATCACTATTTATAGGATCTCGAGATGATTGGCTTTGGTCAGTATTCTCCATTCTGGACACAATTTGAGCTGAGTCATTCTAGTAGACAGCTTAGGCATCAGATGGCCCAGGTGTGGCCAAGGGGTGACTGGCCACTCCAGCTCCATGAATTTGTATTCAAGATAACAGTACAAGGAGAGTTTTCCCAAAGCATTCATGCCTTATCTTAATGTAACATGAAGGCAGCAGATGGCCCAGGTGTGACCAGAGAGTGCCTGATGCCCAAGTCACTGTCCTTATATCCAAGAAAACAGCACAATGGGGCTTATCCTGACGCCTCAAGTGGCCCGGGGGTGGCTGCACCACCAAACTGAGTGGCCCTGCTCAAGCAGCTGGTTGGACAAGGTGACCTCCAGAGGTCCCGTCCAACCTCAACCATTCTGTGATTCTGTGAAATGATAATGGTTGGGCTTGCACTAGGGTGTTGGATTGTGCAAAACCAGTATTACCACGTGGGATGTAGGTCAGAAATGGAGGAACTATTTATGTGACCTACACCTTTCAGATGCCTGTGTAAAATAACCTGACAGGATTTATTTTAGGACAGCCATCTTAAGTGTTTAGGCTCTCCATGTGGTCGCTAGCAAGAATGCAGGTGTTCCTAGAGGGATTCAAAGGGCTCGAGGGAAATATCCAGCTCTCTCCATTGACCTAACAGGTTTTATCTGGACATCTGACATGGTGCTCCTCTGTGGAGAACAAAGTATCACCTGGAATCAGGCAATAGAAAATTCACTGAGGTGAGGCTGAGCAGGTGGCTGAGTCAGGGAATACAGCACGTGCCACTTATCCACTTGCATTTTACATTACTTATGCCATTTCTGAGCTAAACAACTCATGGAGGAGGAGTAGCAGAAGTCCTTTTGCTCATTTCCCCAGTGATCAGAGCACTGGGTCAGTAATCCAGAGCAAGTTTGGTGGCTAAGTCCTTTCTTTGGTCTCACCACTCTGGAGAATAATCACAGAATAATGCAGAATAATCTGGAGAGTAATTCTGTGATTCTGTGATCCCAGCTGTCTTTATTCAGCTGGATCTTGAAAACCTCAAAGGATGGAGTCTGTACAAGAGCTCTGGGCAACCTGTTACTGTCTGTGAACGTCTTAGTGTCCATCAATGTGCTATTAACATCAAATAATTCTGGTTATGCCAAGAATGTCATGGTAGCCGTCATGACAGGACTTCAGAGTATTCTCTTTGGATCTTAAATTCTTGGATTCAGCTGTTTTGGAGTGAAAAGGGTTGTTCGTAAGAATTTGATAGAAATCTGCAGCAAGCGGAAGGGTAACCTTACCTATCTGTAAGTCATCAGTACGGATGCATTTCCAGAGCGATGTCGTATCACTCAGTAACAACTCACAGTTCTTAGAATTTAACCTCAAATCCAGAACTGTATTTCAGTTCCAAAAATGTACCTGTACATTTGGAGGGAGCTTTCATTCAGATGCTTCAACTGATGGTGAAAATTGCTGCCTGAGACTTCTTCTGGTTTCGAGTACTCAACTCCAGATATTGTCATTTGCAGAGAACAGATGCCCAGAATCCTTCAAACAGTCTCATGGTGGGCTCTCAAAACCATAGCAAATGCATTAGTGTCACTATTAAACCTGAAGCAATATTTTAAGATGAAAAAATGAAGGAACTAAATGTTTGTAAAAGGAAACCAGCCCTTTTACATGGTAAAAAGTTCAGTGAATTTAACTCACGGTCTTTCCTGGCATAAAATCTTCAAACCTGGGGACACGTCTAATAGTAAGGGATCTCCACTGTAGCACTTAACATCACTTGCTCTTTAAAAAAGAAGTGGAAGCTATAAAAATTTTCGGAAAAAATAACGGTTCAGCCAAGGTTTGGCTCT